CTACCAAAAATTCCCTTACTGGTTACTAGCAGGTACAGTAATAATAGGAAATGGCTGAATTCTTAAAAAAAAAAATCAAATCCTTTTCTATATTTGTGTTATATGATCCACTGGACAATATTTTCCCTTTAAACAGAAAGTAGAGAAAATACCGTGCCCTTTATTAACTCAACGTTTCCTTATAAGTAGTAGACAGCAAGGAATTGCACTTATTGTAACGTTACAGTAGTGTTAGCTTGCAGCTCACGTTTTAAAATATTAGTGGCCCTAATACTTACGATAGGTTGTGCATTATTCAGAGATGGATAAAGATGTGCATTGAAATTAAAAACAGAGCAACTACTTACGGAACAAACAGTGAGGCTTAACATAATAAACATGCACTAACCCTACACTTATGCAAAACTAAGTTCTTTCCGGAAACTGTAACCAACTGTTGACCTTCCACAAAGGTATAGGTTTATGTCCCTTGGTAATATGTCTGGACTTCGCATTTGAATTCCAGTTTGTTAGCTCATTGTCTGTAAATGTGCTGTTCCACTGTCATATCCTTTAGCTGCCCTTGAGCTTCTGCAGAATCTGTAATCTTACAGTCACTTTTATTTAAGGTTTTATTAAGCCTCAAAGTAAGTCTCCTTCAGTACTGTACAAGTAGGCTTCTTTACTCATCCTCTTCAGGTTCCTGTGGTAAAATTGGGGCCTCCTCCTTTAAACAAGCACTAAAAAACCCAAGGATTGTGCTGTAAAGGTGATATTTACTTTTCTCAGATGCGATGTTATGACCTTCATCTGGGTAGATCTGGCAGAGGAAATGGAGAAAGGAAATAGTTTTAAACAGCCATTCAGCTCTTTAGAGCTCTGATTTTCATATTCTGATCTTCAGAGTGTTTTAGATGACAGCAGGACAATAACGTTAACGTTAAACACTTTTATGATATCACGGCAAACTAATAAAATTCAAAGCAAAATTCATCTTCTTGGGATTCAAAACCAAAATTAAATAACTATTGCATTGTAGTAGTAAAAGATGCTTCTCAGATGCTGTGTTTAGGACAGCATTTCTGCCTGGATTTTCAGCAAAGACAACTAGGTGCCCAAATTCCATTAACTTCAATAGGATTTGGGTACTACATTCTAGCAGGTTTTTTTTAAAAAACAACAACCCTGCCTTCTAAATACACAGTAAAAAGCCTTTTAATTCTCTCCTCTCTCACACACCCCAATCTGCTTAATCTAGCACTCCTAACTGTTGCTTATAGTGACTGACTGTGAGCCATCTTATTTGACAGCCCAAAAATCAATGCAAACTTTTCCTGAACAGGGAGAAAAGGACTTCATGATGTAATGGAAATGCTGGTCACAGAGCAGCTATATGCCAGTTGATTTGGAGATAGGCAGTATTTTAGGAGACAGGAATTATCTCTCATCTTCAGATGATACTGGCTACTGAACTTCTTTAATCAATGGCTGGAGTCATCTATGCTAGTCCTTTCCCTGGTCCTCTCCCTGTAGCGGGTGGGTGGGGGAATATGATAATTTCTTATACACAATAACAGCATGGATCCCTTTACACTTAAACTCTGTTTGCAGCAGAGCTGTGCTAGTTCCACTGCACAGGATCCTCTGAAGAGATGAAAGGGGGGACTGGATTACACTTTAAGGAAGAAACTGAATAATCTAGGTGAGATTATTTCCCTATTCCCCTGCCCCAGAACAGAGTACAGGCAGTCCTCGATGTACAACGTTTTGAGTTACAACATTTTGCACTTATAGGGCATGTCCAAATGAGTACGCACGTGCCTCTTGCCCCACCTCAAACCCCTTTGAGGCAGGGCAACAGGCGCATGCGGGAACGAAAAAAGTTCCCAAGAGTTTGCAGCGTGGAGTGAAAATTAGACCCTTGGATATCCAGGGGTCTAAAAAAATTGAAGTTTAAAAAAGTGAAGCAGGTCACCTGAGGCAACTGGAGGCTGGGTCCTCCACAGAGATGCTCTGGCTGCCAGAGCATCTCTATGGTTGGCCCTTGCCCTGGTGCTGAAACACGCGGCCCGCCAGGCCATGCGTTTCAGCACCAGGGCTCTGGTGCTGGTGAGTAAGGGGTTGGGGGGGCTGGAGGACGGGGGAGAGGACCATGGGGGGGACCCCGATGGCCCTGCCCACTCCCCCAGCCCCCCCGACCCCTGCCTGGTTTGGTCTCTCCCTTCACGAGCCCTCCTCCCCCTGCTGGGGATGGCCA